TAAAGAATCCAGTTGAATATTTGGTAGAATATTCTAGATAGGCTTAGAGGTAGCACTGTGAACTAAGGACCTTAATATATTCACTTTGCATTTTGCCATCTAGTGCTTAAGCTACCTAAAAGCCAATAAATTCAAAGTACCACAGTCATCCAGATACAAGAGATTTGAAATCGGGGCACGCATCAGGCTGTCTTTTACATCCTTCACAAATCGTCTCGTTAGCACCATTTGACATCCGTTTTAAAGGAGGAGAGATGAGGACTTTATGATGTCAGAACAGTGCGCTATATATCTGTGCATGTAGTTTGTCAGGTCAAGTTTTGGAGACAGAGGAATTGTACAGTCTACCGTGATCTTGATCGCCTGTATGCCACACTTCCCGATCAAGTATCCAGAAATGGAAGCTCGTCGTCTTCAAAAACACACTTGTCCGTATCGACAATGATCTTGTCCGAGCGCACTCACTCGAACAATGCTCGCATGCGTCTGATGTTGACTACTACACTCGTCACCCCAACCTGCAATGGACAAATCTATGTCAAAAATGGAAAGTGTAAATGCATTATGCGGGATATATAGCTGTGTGAGCTGTGCCACCAGATGAATAAATTTTGCTGGTGCGTTAGCCTGTCTCTGTTGTATGATTTACTACCTTCATCTATCTCTCTCGTAATAAAGAGAGGAACATCGCTGTCTGTCATCATTAGTTGACAGTAGCCATCAGCTGTATCGAAACCGCGAACGGAGTACAGGCGACCGTTTTGTTTGCAATGCATTGTTTTTGAACACAACATCTACGCCTAAATAATGAATTCCTAGAGCTTCCCTGCGTCAAACGGAACGTAGATATCAACAACCAACAATCATGGACTGACCCGGCTCCCTTAAAAAAAGTATTTTTCTCGGGGACTGTGCCTAGCAGATAAGACATTTGAGGCCAGTTGTTGTACTTCGATTGTACACAAAACTCACAGCTCCTTCAAAAGAGGCTGGGTAGACGTGGAAATTGATGGTGAGAGCAGCATATATACGGTGCCTTTTTGTTTCGATGGGAGTCTAATTGTTATCGGATGCCATCATCTCTTTCATAAGCGCTTTCATTGCCCAGACTTTCCGTGCTAATTTTTCTTAATTATGAGAAAGGTCATGATGTTGGACCGCACGCAGATAGAGTGATCGTGGGATCGGAGCACATGCGACTTATGTAGCTTAAATAGTACCAATCATGTAAATCCCTGTTTCAAAGAAACTTGCCGTCAATTTGACACGTGGGTCAATGAAGTTGCATTTTCTCTGATAAGGGAACACAATATGCGTCCATTAATTCTTCGCAACAAATCGATAAGCTTGAACATCTTCTGACTTTTATTTGCGAGGTGTGGAAAGCGCAACTGACGGCCCAAAGCTCTGGAATCGCTTGCACAGCTATAAAATATGCTAGAGTGACAAATCAAGAGCATAGACATCAGCGAGAACCTAATCAAAGGAAGATATCCACTTATTGGAAATAAATACGAGCCAGGATGGCGGAAGAACGTTTGTAAACGGCCATATTTATCCTCTTAATTGAGGGATCTGAACAAATCCAATCCGCATCCATCCCCCCAATTCCATTTAAACCATTTTAGAACGCGACAAGAGTACCACTAAACGAGGGATGCAGTTTTACAGCTGCGAAGGCCAGTTGGGGGTGGGTGCGAGGGTGTGACTTGATGTGCGCGCAAGAGACGATGAACCTTAGCCAAATCATGATAAAGGGGGTAGAGTTGAACACCATTGCTATCGTATTCATTGGTTTTTATAGGATATATCAGTTATTCGCTCCCAATTTTTACCTTTTATGTTGCTGAGAGATGCATAGTGTAGATTCCACGCAGTGTAGACTGACGAACCGAACCCATCACAGGGAGTAGTCGAGCCAGATTTATTGCAGATGAACCTATTGAAGGATTGCTAAGTATTTTTTGTACCACGCAAAAGGTCAGGTTACTTGGCGCCATCCCTTATGTGATTACCGAATAGAAATATAGTTTCAGCTCAACGCTCAAATTCGCTGGGGTCACAATCAATATTTCTGGCTTTGAAAAAGATAGTTTTATCATGTACAATGGAGAGTTGTGCATCTATGTAAAATATGCGACTGCTGAAATCCACACAAACACACGAAATCACTGTAGATACCAAATGTGCGTTTTGTATCTTTGCGACTTTGACGAGGTTACTCGGTGAATTCTACAAGACAGGGAAGCTAATTCTTTAGAAGTGCTGACAGTGTAAAGCGCTATATGGTTCCAGATATGAATTAATGTACAATCTCAACCTTTGTTTGGCCTAGCTAGAACTCAATAATGAAAGGGTAAATAAGAGTTTGAAACTTTGGTAACACCTGCTTCATTTCGAGAGGAACATTGGCAAGTTATCAAACTATCTTTGTCACAATCAGATGTGATTTTGCGCGGGCATAATATTGCGACAGCCTTAGCGTAAGGCATGAGATTAACCCAAAATAGCTGGCAATGATTTTGCTAAGATCTTTGAGCTGGGCTTGAAAAGTAGTAGCGGTTGTGAGCTATGTACTCAAGATGAGAAGGAGAGAAGTGGTCGTATGTCGCGGTCGCCAGATTTTTTCGCTTGAATAACTTTTAGATACTTCGAGCTAAGCTTCTTAAAGTTTCTTTTGGTGAAATAAAAGTCGCAGGTTCGGTTTGCAGTCTTCGAGAAGAAACCCTGTGGAAAGAGGCGACTGTGTATCACAAAAAGGACAGCTACCAAGGTATAAAATATCTTTTTTATCACGACGATACGGTTCTACTTAGTCTGCGTTGCGTCGCGTGATCCATCCACGATGCGGAGCAGTTGAGCATATCAGGCTTCTTGCGAGAAAGTTTTTAACGCGAAAATAGAATGACCGGGATATTTCAGAGGATTGGCGTTCTCTCAGTACCCAAAACAAATTCCCATTCATTCTAGCGAGTTATATTAAGGGGACGTGCGCAAGTAAGAGCAAGACTGTTTCAAATGAATCAGTGTAATGCAGCAGGCTCAATATCCGTCATTGCCGAGGTTGCTATTCGTTATGCTCGCAGGGCCTTGAGCATAACGAGTGGATCTTTGATCCAGTAGATCTTGGATCCTTTTTGGAGAATAATCAGCGCGTGCTAGCAAGATAAACGCAATAGTAGCTGCCTTTAGGTAGCAAAGTACGTCTTTGGACTGACATGGTTTCTGGAATCAATCATCGCATCACAAGTCGATTGCGCTCAACATTGGAACAGTGCAAGATCGACGGTGCTTGCTTTCGTGCAGCTTGTTAGAGAGAGGAAGTGTAGAGCGGGGTGTCTGTCTTAATGAACCACATTCGATATTTGTGAGTAGTGCTCGAGTGAATGCACTTAGGTAAGGTGATCGGCAATCCATATAAGAATGTCTTGGGAGCCCACACCTGGTATCTAAACTGACAAGTGTGGCATGCTGGCAGTTTTCGCAACGACATTCGGTTCGTTTAAGACTTACAGATATGGTCTGTACTGGCCAAACACTTGCAAAGTAGTTGTAATAAGTACGATGAAAACTAAACCACTCCCCATTAATATCTTAAAAATATGTCTAATGGCGCTAGGGCGTGGCAGGAGAGGCAGATTATGTAACATGTACTATACAGCATCAGGCGTGCTCCGATTCTGTCGCGGCACTTGTCTGTAGAGACTGCAGTGCTGAAGCAGATTGCGCATTTTGAATCCCTATATTTTCAATATTCACCTTTCCAGGCTTCGCCTTCAATCACACAGACGGTCTATTAAGCCCTCGGTGTGTATGCCTAAGTAGGGGCTATTGATCCGATTCGACTTGCTGATATCAGCTTGGCTACACCTCGTAGTAAATCAATGATTTCACTTCAGCGAGATTGAGTATAATGCGCCGAGTATAGGGCGCTATGGATGAGAGCTAGATTGATCATATGAAACACGGCGAAATCAGAGGCTGGCGAAACTTCACGAAATTGAAGCAAAGTAAAAACTATTCTATGCAGTTAATCTACCATACCAATACACGCACTGTGAGCAGTCTTAAGACTAGATTGCTTTAACGTAATACATCGTTTTCAATATGGCTAATGCGTCAAGCCAGACAACTCCATGGCGAAAATTGAGAAACGAGTTCGAAGTTTGACTCATTTGAGATTCGGACGCATGTTGATACTCTTGGAAATAGTCAGCGTACCGCCACATCTAAGAGCTCTTATTTAAAGCAACCGCGGGAAAATCGATCGTGGCCAAAAAGAGGTGGATCACCTCAGCGTGTAACACTTAGGTACACTAAGGCTACCAACAGTATATGGTGATGTTGTAGGGAGACCCTCACTCCAAGAATCAATGAATGTTTGGACGCCGCTTTGGCAAAATTGTCCATCTCTTTTTGTCTCTCTCTCTGCCTTCGTGCGGTTATCCCTTATGACCTGGCGCATTTTCGGCTCTTTTCTCCACGGGTGCGTGTTGCAGCCTGCGATGTCCCGATCGTACTTTGCCCCGTAAGTCAGGCAATATTTCCACGCCCAAGTCGCACCCTCGCTTCAGTATTACTGGCTTGCAAAGTTTTGAGTAGGATGAGATGAGACAATTTCTCACCCAGTGCGCAAATTGAATGCGTTTTTTGGCAATCTTGCCAGAAGTCAGTAGCCTTGATACAGCCCTTATGGAAAATGAAAAATTTCCGACCACTGCTGCTCTAAGCGCAGGCGATGATCCTGAGGAGTGATAGCCTGTATGGCTTGAATGCGCACGCAGAGTGACGTTTTGGCGCTATTTTGGCTATTGTTGAGGTCGAATATACGCATGGATAGGCGAGAACTCCGGTCCATCGTTGTAAGCAATTTCAGATAGTTAAAACCATTATCAAACGTGATGAGTTTGGCAATAGTCGACGCGGCGTTGTGTCTATCGATGAGCAAAATGCGGTATCTGGGCTTGGTCAAGCTTTTGATGCTAAAATAAACACCGTGAAAGGTTTTCACGACAGAAACACTATTTGCTGTTGAAAATGGGCACAGAGAGCTCGAAGTGCACTGTACACTTTCTCCTTGGTGAACGATTAAGCCAACATGTCTTTTAGGTAGGAGCATGTTTCGCGACTTATTGAGTTCGTTTTCATCGGAGATCACCTCGCCATCATCATCAAGCTTTTTCAAGAAAGCGATAGTCGCAAAAAGTCCCTTTTTAGTCGGAGGCTCTTAACCCATTTGATAAAGTGCACTTTCAATGAACTATTTCCGTGGGATCAAGCACGAAATTAATTCCAGCACAGAATGTAATGAGACTTGAAGCGCATGAGATGCTTGTGGAGTGCTCAAATTTTCACGGGGTGTCATGAGTGAGATTTTCCGTGTGATCACATCTGTGGGATGTAAAAGGGTAGGTAGCATACTACTGTGCACTTATGCTTTACATTTTACGAACTCTTGTATCAAACACAATATTGTGTAATTGTATTGCTTTTTGTGTAACTGTGGTTACTCATAAGTTCCAAAGCATCAGTAATTATGGCGGTGTAAGCGCCATAATTACAAGCGCACGTCAAGTACTTAAGAATTTTTTTTATATGAGAAATGGTAAAGCATATACATTCAGTATTCTATGGAAACATATGTTCTCTAAAAAAATCAGAGCTAAGTAAAGATCTAGTTTATCTAGCTTCGCTCGCGGTTACAACGTACGAACATGACCCATGTGCATTTCCAGCGCGGTTTTATGAGTCAACTCTTTCTCTGCGCAAGTGCACGACAACTCCGTCGCAGTACTCCTGATGATATATATGTACGTAAGATCTGGCACTTATGTTTTGTGCCCGCAGCCCGTGGAGCCTCTACACACCGCTGCAGACTTTTCCGCAATATTTACATGTACTGTAATCAATTCCGAACAAATGACTAAGTTGCACAGATAGAGAATTCCGACGAATGTTGCATATAAATGAGCGTCATCCTTGCCAGGCTATGACGATCAAATATGTTTGCCCGCATCATCACCTGAGTTCGTACAACCACTTATATAATCAACGCCGGTGGGCAGAGCGAGATCGAAATTCTATAAAATCAGGGTAAACGGAATCAGATTGTCTGCTGCATTCATGGCATCAAAGGAGTCGACGCATCGTGTTATGTGGACAAATCATCGCTGCCTAAAACTCACCAAACGCGTCCGTCCTTTAAAGAGTCTGGAATGTTCATCTCAAGTATTCGCCCCAAAAATAGTGCAATATTGTGCTACGATAGACGTCTCACAAACACGGACGGCGCAGTGCCTGCAAGTGCTGTTCCAATGAAATCACCTAGCAGGTCTTTCCACTATGGTCTCCGAGCAAAACTTGAGGTAATTTACCCAATAGGGTTCTCTCAGTTGTGCCCTGTCTGCCACACTGAGCCATTTACAATAAATCATGCACTCGACAAAAGAAACGATTGCATTTACTTGTGCATGTTCGCATCGTTATTGCAGTACTTTGCTTTTGCCTTACATCGATTCGACATGTTAAAGTACTGCTTACATGATCTGCTGTCGTCGTTCGTTGTCGTGGTATGGATAATTATTCTCCTGGCCTTCACTTTAATGAGTCCCACGATGTTCCTGAAGACGGGGTATCCAGTGTAAACAGGCAATTTGCCTCATTTACAAGTCTCATCGTTTTTCAACAAGACGACCTACTCTGCGCGTGTAAAGCGTACATCAGCAACAATCAACAGACAAAAGTATGCAAATGACCATTCAGATGAAAGACATGGTTAAGAAAAAAAAATTCGGCTTTCCGCTGCTTGTGATTTAAATCTTTTAAGTTATGATGAGAAGAACAAAATAGGTAGCTTAACTAGAGAGTATATCAGCTTCGCCACTTGGTCGCCTCATCTATGATTCACTGCAATGTCCCTCCAAAATAATGATTGTATTTTGAGGTTCTCTTGTTCGAGTGCTTAAAAAGAATTGCTGCTGGATAGTCAGGATGGTCCCTGGATTTGAGATGTTGTGGGACTCTTCGCAGCTGACTCCGAAGCTGCCTATCCACGTCACTACGTAAAAATATCTACAAGTACAAATACTGTAAGTTGGTAGCTCCCTGTCGTGTTATTAAAAAACGTCTTCAATCAAACACATACGAAACTAATGCTGTTGTCATTTTGCATCGGCTATTGCTTGTTCAGAGTAAGCATTGCGTTAGCTTGTCGAGAAGATCGCAATCGGGTAGACTAATCGCGCCAAAGAAAGCATATGGCGAGCCAGCTAGTTTCTTGATAGTAGCTCTACACTAGACAAGCCACCAGCCAGCGCAGAAGGGACATTAATACTGTAACTTGGATCTTGCCGAGCTTGCTATAAGAGCCACAACTCTCATGGTGCCACATGTCGTGCATGCGTCATGTCGCTGACATCCAAAGCGCAGTACCCTTGCTGCTATGATTAGTATATTAAGAAGTACCGTAATGCTGGCAGTATAATCTTCATAGCGCGGATTAAAGTATAGTAAGAAGTGGCGAAACCCGGCAGCTGGTTTCTCAAGTGACAGGCCCAGCTCACCTACAGTAATTTCGAACTAGCAGTGTCTGCCAAAAGCAAAGACAGAATGAAGTGCTCCCAACAATCCACCACTTACTAAGTGTAAGCCTTTCGGCCTGGATGCCAAAGACCAGCCGTGTTGCGCTGAGCGGCACGTGATCTGGATAGGCAACGAAGTCTGGATCATGCAATTCATGCGATATATGCAAAGCGATACTTTTCCTGTCCACGGCCGCAATAGAACGAGGGTGATAGCAGTCATTCAGTTATCACATCAATCTACATTCATCAAGTTGGCCTTACAAACCTCCCGTAAAGTCAGGTAATAGCGATCAATTTTCTCACTACACGACAGTAATCAATTTGGTACGATGCATCGATATGAATGAGTTTATCGTAGAATAGGCGCTGCCCTAGTGCAAGCAGTTTGCATTTTCCACACCGAAGGTGCTGGCTGATGATATCAACTGGTTTATCCTGACACAAAATTGGTACTGCGCATCAATACGCCCTACCACTTCCTAAATGCGTTGAAAAGTCTCAGTCACATAGCAGTGACACCCGCAAAAACAGCTGAGGACAAAAAATAATCTGCTTCCAATCCAATCCTCTGATCGAAAGCGCTGTGACGAATCCGCGAGGAAAGTCAAAAGCTTGTACTGGCTGATCAGGGTTAACGTTTATTCGAGTTCTCGTCCACATGCACCTCCACTGCCATTTGCAGATTTGAGTTTGAACGATCAAAGCTCTAGCTCAAAGAGGACCACTACAATAGCCAACTTCAACAGATATATGTTAACAGCACCCGATCGAGTAATGGAGTCCCGCCCGTGGATCACCGACTTGCCGAACACTGCCGACTTCGACATTTCAATGATGATACAACAGCCAAATGAACTGAAACACCACCTCAAGAGTAGCTGTAGCCCGATTATTAATCTAGCCTCGCTGGCCATCTCGGCACCTCCACTTCTGCCACCAATTGGTAGTATCAGTCCTGCGAACACCACCACAGCCTCACGGTTCTCAATTGTAGGCAGCGGCAGCATCTTGAATCCACTCAAAATGGAGTACTGTCGTTTCGAAGGATGTGCTAACTTCAGCAAAATGCAAGGATACTGCCATGACCACATCCATGGCCGGCCAGCGCCGCAATTCTCATCACCAATCCAGACTCCATTCGTCCAGACGACCAGCAGTCCACTTCCGACTCTTGTGCTTCCATCATCAGACTCGCAGTGCCAATATCTTCCATCTTTGAACAGTGTGGTGTCTGCTCACTCAAACGACCTTCACCCAGTCGTCACCCAAGCATATTCGTACGACTCGTCCGTACGGTCTGATAGCTCATCGTATCCAATCGCATCAGTTTCATGTAACAAGCGGCCTTTATCCTTCACAAGACGCATGACAGTTCTATCAAAGAACAAAAATCCACGCAATTACGTTCGTCCCACTTGTTCCGCCGGCAATAGTTGCTGCTTTAATCTCGTTGCAAAATGCCGACGAGACGGCTGTCGCAAAGAGGCCAGACGCAAAGGTCTTTGCATGGAGCATGGTGGACGTCACTTTTGCAAAAAAGCAGGCTGCCTCAAATGCGCTCACCGTGGTGGCTTTTGTATCTCGCACGGCGGTGGCCGTCGATGTGCAGTAGCCAACTGCACCAAAAGCGCTCAGTCTGGTGGCATCTGTTACTCGCACGGAGGTGGTAAACGCTGTGCGACAGAAGGCTGTACTCACGCAGCTCGTAGCGGCGGTTTTTGCATTAAACACGGCAAGTTGCAACAAGCGCTACAGCAACAATTCTGTCGGCGCTAGATGGTTTCGAGTAGAACTGTGTGGACAACATGTATGAAGATGATATATTATGAGGCGTAGCGTTAAGACGATTGCCGTACTAGATGGATAAAGGGCTGAGCTAGCCCATTAATCATATATTATAAATACTGCAATGCTGCCTACTCCATTCTACTCAATTGTAGGACATGTAATTAATTCCCTACGTATCAGCTTCGATTTTTGAAAGCACATGATTGTTCTGTCCTTCACGTTCCTTACCGTACATCATTTTAAAAATCATAGGTGATGTTGAAGCTGAGACGGTCCTAAGCTCGAGTACTAATTTCGAGCAGATATGTCTACTGCGTTAGCACAGTTACTGCACCAATCGATGCAGAAATCTCCATACTCATGAAGTCAAAAAAAAAGGTAAAGCGAGGCGAGAAGATTTATTAAGACAGTCGATTAGATAGGTGATGCAGTCGCTGCAAATATGTTTCGTTAATCTAGTGCTATACGGCTGCGCGGAACAGAGAGAGCCAAGAATCCAGATAAGCTATCGGACAAGAGCTCTGCACATTGGTGTATGAACAAGAAAGGGCTACGATGACCTTCATTATTCGAGAATCCGACAATTTCGATTATAATGAGCGACTTGGCTGAACTAATAAAGCAAAAATTTGGACTTACTTGCTGGCTTCTATGTGTTGTCTTCGAAAGAGCGTTACTTAGTCCGCAAACCAAAGAATCAGCCAAATTGTCCTCGTTAACAACAAACCAACACTTTTCAGCACCGCCGCCACAATTTGACGGAAGCTGATAGATCGCAGCTTTCACGGCTCGTTTGACAATTGTTCGCTGGCGAAGCTTGCAAGATGTACCAGTACAATATTTTTAAATACTGCAAGAAGTCCGATGCTATAAGCAATATGCGAGCGAGGAATCTTGTTGCACAGGATACCAAGCAGATGCTGAGATTCTATTAGAGTTGAGTTGGTAGATAGCCAGCCGATCAGATTTAGCTTTTCACATTCCTCATGGTGAGCAAAATTACTTCTGTTGTCCGCTAAACATGATCGACCCAAATAAGCCCCAAAGCTTTCACTGCACTTTAAAGCAGCCTATTGTCCTAAATGCTCACACTTGTTGACAAATCGATTGATTACGAAAAACGCCATATTGTTTAGTGCCGAGTCAACTGCGACAGCGGCAAGATGTCCCTTCTTCAAAAACTTGTCGGATTCAATTTTACTGATTTTCGCTTTGATGAAATGATTGCCCGATGTTCCTATCATTGAAATGTAGAAATATCAAAACTCCAGTTTGTAGCACGCACAACAGAAGCCGCAGATGATTCGAATCGCCACAGGAACAATTCATTCGGGCTGTTCTTGATTTTTCTTTTTGTTAGGTGGTGAGACATGTCCGCGTGGTTTCTTTGCATCTTCGCTCGAGCACAAATAGCGACAGCTAGTTTTACACACATCACAAAAGTGTTTTTTAGCCTTTTCAAATTGCTTACGAGAATTAGCGAGTGCTTTGCACTGGGCTGGTTGTAGAGCGCATTTTTAAGAAAATACTAATCGGCCTTGGTCATCTAATAATTTTGCAGGGTAACATCTCTGGTCTTTCTTTAATTAATGAGTTTAATCATTTTTTTAATACTAAATACGCTTCCAAAGGTTAAATGATTTTTGATCATCAGGCTCCTTCAATATTCAAATATTATTATTCGTTCTTCGCTGACAGTTTTTATGCTTTTAGCTGGTGCGCTTGATAAGGACTGATTAATCCTTATAGATTATTTGAAATTTGACAATTCCTTTACCTTTGACTAACTTCAATTCACTAATCGCATCGACTGGCGTCGGTGATATTTGTGGCGAATAGCGATCATCATGCCATAGTCAAGTCAGCGAAGTCTGCTATCTGAAACAGCAGTTTTGCTGTAATGCTTGATTTTTATGAAATTTCAAGCGATGAATAATGTAGACTGCGATCCATTTGAAGCGATCAGCGTACAAGTGATGGCGTAGTGACAATGTCATGGCCTGGAGAGAAGAAACTAAAAGTCGATACATGACAAATCAAAGTCTAATCTTAACTAACAAGCGAAACTTTTTTTAGAGCGTACCAATAGGTTACATGCACCAATGTTCTGGTACACGTATTTCGATCATCAAACAATATACATTCGTGTAAAGTATATATTTAATCATAGTTATTTGTCATTACCGCTGGACAGTGCATTCGCTATGAGAGCCTATTCAAGTGAGGTACACAAGAATCTGTTGATATTGCAGCTCGAGGGAATCAAGCGGCTCGTGAATGAGTTCCACCAACAGACAGAGGCCTATGTTCAACAGTTTGGGTATCTCCCGCTGTCGAAGGAGCCAGCAGAAGCCGCGCACAATGCTCGCATCGCGTTGCGTAGCCTGGCGTCAGCTTCGCCTTCTATAGCTGAGGGATGTGCAGTCTCGGAAATCATTCGGGATGCCACTCAAAAACACTGCGGGGTTGACATGTGTGCTACATCACCCGAAAACCTTGAGCATTTTCTGGCAATTTCAAGGAATGATGTTAAAACCGCCGAGGATCGTGTGCACGCGCTATTTGTGCTAGATGCGACCCTGACTAGTGCTCGCCATCGCAAAGAAATGCAGTCTCGGTTTGAAGGTCTACAAGGCTATGAAGTGCTAGTAGAGTGGCTCGCAGTCAGCTGTAGCTACAACGACGAGACTTCTAAGGCCTTCACAGAGCTGCTGCTTCTGGTGCTACACCGCAACTTGCCTACTGCACTGTTTACAACTAAGACTGTGGTCAAGAATCTTTCTACATACAAGAAGGTCATGAAAGGTAAAAAGAATAAGGCTCTACTGCAAAGCGTTATAAACCATTACCGGGAAAAGATCAACTCATAAATCTGAGATGTTTTGTTCCAATTCATCATGTAGCATTTTCGCCATAACACATCCGCGGTGATGACATTAATCAATGTTGACTTTTAAACCACTGCATTATGAGGCGGATCCTCGTGAGATATCGGGACTTAAAGTTTGCTTATTCACTGCTCTATTCAGGCCACGTTCTGCTTTCCACGAAGGCAGAACAAGCATGGTTGAACAAGCAGCCTTGTAAATTACATGCCAGAAAACTTTCACTGCATCAATAAAACCCAACGGACAGCGAGCTTAAAATAACAACCGATCGCTTTGTCACTCCCACATTTGCCATTTATCGTCGCAAGTTGATTCTGAGCAAGCATCAGGTTTTGACACCAGGGATGGAAGGCTACCTGGATTATTTGGAAAAGACCGGTCGTCGTGGGCTTCGGAATAAAATTTGGGTGCGCCGGTTTTTTAAGGTTAACTTACCATTTAATGTGCTTGAGATTTTCGCGGACGAGACGCAGTACGAGCGTAGAGGAAGGCTTGACCTTCGTGGAGCTGTTGTGTCTACTGCCGATGAGCTCGGTGAACTGCTGAACGAACATAAAATGGCAGCAGAAATGTCAAGAAGATTTATTTTTAGAATTACAGATAGCGGCAAAAAGCATCACTACCTGTGTTCCGATATCAATGGTAACGCGATTCCAGCTTTAACAACCTATAAATTGGCATCTATGGCCCGCATATATATGGAGAAATGGCTCTATTCTCTTCGGCGAACAATTGCTGCTGGAAAGGAAACCTTAGACGCTACGATTGAATTTGGTAAGTTCAATTCCCAGATTGCTGCCTTCCTGAATAAAATGCATATATCTGCTCGTATTTCCGATCGCGTTTGTAAAATCGGGCCGTCCATGTATGAAATAACAATCAAGGCGTGGATTTTAGAGCGTGAGCTGACAAACGAAGACGAAAATCAAGAAATATACTGTAGCGCTCGCAATCAGCGAAATTTTGGTGACCTGTCATGGCAGATAGCGGAATATGCATGCTCTTGGAAGGTTATGAAGTCCAAAGCAGAACTTCAAAACTTTGATGGAAAAATTCAGCAATTTATTGGCTCAGACATGCTCAATTGTGTCTTTCCCTCACATGCTATTGGGAAAACATTTCACATGTTTCATCTCCACGCATCTGCCGCTCAAAAGGCGGTTCAGAAAAACCAGCATATCCAGGTTTACGATACATATCTGCAATCTCTCTTGCTTTTACCTGAGCTGTCAATGTTCGGAAGTGATGCCAGCAAACTTTTTGACAATTTTTTTGATGTCTCCCCCCATCTTGTCTCATTCCGGAAATTGGAGAAGAAAAGTGGGTTAAGCATGCACCTTCATGACCGCAAAGTAGTGCCGTGGATTAACCGTGAGCGATTTGAGGTTGTCTATGAGATGCACCGGCAGGGAATGGCCGCGCAGAAAGAAAAAGCACATCGTTGTTCGATCGGTTCGACTGCTCAAATTGATAAGCCAGTGACGAGACACTGCCACAATTGCAGTCCATATCGTAAGCAGAATAATTCGGAGGCAGGGGGCTTTGAAGACTTGGAAAATTTGGGCACCACTCTACCAGCGCCAGTGAAGTTAAGTGCTGCAACTGAGGTATGGTGGAGGGCTGGTTGTTAAAAGTGGACAATGACTAATTTCGTTTGCTTCAGAAACAGAGGACACGCCCCAGAGAAGCAGTCGAAGATCGTATCGCCCGAATTGGCCACCTCCTTATTATTGAAGCATTTGAGACTTAATTTTGCTTGTTTAAAATGGCAAAATATCATGCTGTATATTATTTATTAACAAAGTATAATGTTTGCAACTTACCAAACATGTATAAGCAGTTGAAGACATGTTTAAACTCAGCAAAATAACCATGATAATAATTTGGCAGTGTCAATGCGGAGTCTCTTGTCCTCTATCTCTCGATAGTTTTTGTAAATATTGATCATCAATTGATCACCAACCTAATCCCATCAAATCACGTCCCACTCGACGTTCTAGAGCTGGATGTGCACAGTCTTCATGTATTAACAGGTAGTCAGAATCCATTGGTCCACCAAGTTCCTGAAGCAATTGTAATGCCTCCTTATGTTCAGCTTTCAGATCTGAGAGAGAGACACCGTTTCTATTTTTTGATCGAAGTTGATGCGCTACAGTAGTGGCAGACTTTTTCGAGCACGCAGCTCTTGACACGTTCGGTGACAAAAGCTGCTTCGTACCTGCCGTAGAACCTGCGACTAGAATTACGCGCTTTTTTGATACACCTTTAGTCTTGAATTTTGCGCTGCTTCGACTGCGCGAAAAGTCGTATGCTTTGGTTTCACGGACCTGCTTAATGTGCGTCAAAACTTTTGGATGGACTGTCGATGGCGACGAAGCCGTGGTTAAGCCCTCAGTAGTAGGCTTATTACTACTTCGTTGAACCGGAATGTGTTTCTCTCCATGAGACTTCATTTTACACTTTAGTTCTTGGAACTTGCTCGCGAGCGACAAGTTAAGGTGGGACACAACACGACTGCTATCTGCATAACCATCGCTATTGTCCATAGCACTGATAGCATCTGAAGCCTTGGAGACCACAAACTCGTGGAACTGTATATCACTCTCAGATTCGAACTCAAAATATTTGAGCGCTTGTGAATGAAGTATTTCTTGACGGCGTGGAGCATGTAAATTCGAATCACTTTGAGTAGTAGACAGATAGTGTGTCTCCTCGCCAACATCCAGCAGCTTCGATACTGATAAAAGCGAGTTTATTGAAGCTGGAGCAGATCCAGTCATGCTTGCCCGCTGTGTCTTGTATTTCTCACGAGTTGTCAGGCATTGGTTCTTGCGACTACAGATAGCTGGTAGTTGATGTTTCTCTCGGAACGTACGATGATCACCTACAGGTTGAGCTCGCCAAGGATTGGTCATTGCGTGCTGCCACTTTTGAGCGTCAGCTGTCAAGAATGGATGCAAGCATTCGTTGGCCGCAACATTTTGATCAATTTTATTCAATTGTCTGCATAGTCAACGGTGAAGTGAGCAGGTAAAAGGTCATGTGTGGCTCATGCTTACGCATCATTTGCATGTGCATAGGAAAGGTGTTCGTCATCGCAAGCAGGGTCAGTAGTTAAGCACTCGGTATCGATCCCATACTGAGCATTAGGCTGATCTTCATCAAACGTGTCGTAGTTTTTAGAATGACATACGTCACCAAGGAGATGGCAGTTTGCTAAGTTGCAACCTAGTTTTTTAACACGTTGTTACAACCGTTACCAAAATGCAGTATAACTTTCAAGTCAATCACGGCATCAGACTAACCTGACAGTTTGTTATCTATCTGCTGCTCCGATATAGTCGACACACTTGTCGATCGATTCATTTTTGTATCTTCAGTTTCCAACCTGACGAATGGACTGACGTCAGTCCTCAAGACATCTCACACATTTTGTTTTGAACGTACTTCACTTTTGACAGAAGAGATTTTGTCTGCGGATCTCCTCGCCTAAATTCCATCTTTTCAGACACAAAAATCCGCGCGATCAGCTAGCCTGCGCGACCGGCCACCCAAATTTATCAAGCACCTCACGCGTTTGATTAAATGGTGGTTACATTCATTCTATTTTTTCGACCGCCCTTAACTTACTTTCATGAAACTGTTTGCTCCACAACGTTCTGTAAAAAATTATTCACGCTTCAAAATCTGGCGCCTTTTTCGTCAACGCCGTTGTTGTCATCTTGTTTCACAGATGCCGTCTCCTTGCTTGATCCGATACGGGCTTGACTCCAGTCCGGAATGACTCCGCTGTAACCGTAATCGAAGAACAATTCATCGCCAGCATTGATATCTTGCTTTGCGTATATCCCGATACGGTGGTCACCATTGACAAGCATGATTCTCGCAAAACATTTAGGATCATTCGAGTCATGATTTGCAAATTTACTTTTATTCCCTTTGCGAGTGGCATCCACCACAGAGTCTTCCGTTAAATCGAAAAGAAAACTAATTGTTGTTTTGTCATAAACGTTGCCACGCCTCTCGGCTTCGTCTTGAGTTAGTAGCGACCCTGTGTACTCGTATATATATTCCCCCATCTTTATATTTTTTAAAGCGAACGCTCCCCATCCATGAGTTTTGGAGGCAGATATGCCAATTTTACACATCTGACCGCGCATGATGTTGACATTTCCGCAAATTTTAAGCTGTGATACAGCGTTTCCTTTATAATTCTCGTCTGCCACAATAATTGGAAGCTCGCTCGCACCACACGAGATACAAATGTCAGGATCACATTCCCGAGCGGCATAATAGCATGGACACTCAGTAGTCCGGCATTGACCTACTCCACAATGGCATCCAGTAAAACGATTGGAGCAATCTAAAGAGCAGCCACAAGATTTTTCACAGTAATGATCGCGCCGCATGCATGAACATTGCGCTGAATCACAGGATCCTCCTTCATGGTTACACGGAATATATTCACGATTCGCACCGCGGTCCTTCATCCGCTGAGTCCGCGTGCGCTGTAAATGCTCGAAGCTGTTCCCTAGCACCCCAGAACTTCTCTCATAACTTCGTTTATATAAATTATTGCGTTGTAAACATTGTTCCTGTAGACCAAACGCTGTTTCATTCTCACCCTGCAAAACCTCGGCGACTTCTGAACAGTCTCGCGTGGCAATTAATGCTGATAAAACGCATGGATTAAAGCCAATAGACCTCTTTAGATGTCTGAGTAAAGCTACCTCTGAACCATTCCACGGTCTATTTATCATATTGCTTGGATCATTTGTTTTTCCATCGAAAGTTGTATGAAAGACATTATTAGAGCAGTGATCTCCGCAACGTATGTCAGCTGATAACAATTCCAATTTTCTTTCCTGAATTAGCAATTGGTACACTCTGTCCAATCCAAGGTATTCTGACACGTCGGACGATTTGAAGCGAGCCATCTTTTTCAAACGTTCATCTCTCAGTTTTGATGAAGCCTTTGTGCTTGCAGCCGTACGAGCCCGAATGGATCTTCGTTTGGAATTGCCTTTAACAACTTGTGGTAAAGTGCGCGGTTGCCCTTCTTTGTCACTAGATTCAGCAGGACGCGTTACCTTGTAAATTTTGTCATCTGATTCCGGCAATTGTTCGTCATGCATCTCATTGTCTATCTCACACTGAAATTCCTCGTTTGCTAGCTGTTCGTCTTCGAGGCGCCGCCATAAGTTAGCAGCAGTCTTTACAGGCGGGTAGTGTGGATCGACACGAACCAGCGAAACAGGCTGGTCACGACCATGATTTCGGCAATTGTATCTACAACAAAGACGGCAAAAAAATTCTTGATACTTCACGGCCAGTTCTCTGTATTCTTTTGATGGAGCGTGTCGCAATCCTGTCCCGTCATCTTTCAGGATGTGATTTGATAGTATGTGAGCAGGTACTGGCTGCAATCGTCCATACAATTTCGCGTCGTTGTTATTAGCACAGACAGACCCAAAAACGAGCTTCAAAACTTTGTGCCTGTTTTGCTGCGCTTTGAGTCTTTTGTACAACTCAGCCCGAGTGACGCGGGCGACAATATCAAAATAGCTTGAATAAGGCTGCGTGAAAGCCCCGCATCGCTGAAGCGCGTGAAATACAGCCTGGTTTGCTCCGCATGCACAAACAACATACCGTAAAATGTATTCGTTGACTTCATTATCCATACCAGCAAGCGTAATATGAGAAGATCCAACGGTTGGAGTTTGAGGCCCCTTGACACTGTCGGGGCTGAAGTGCGGCACAAAACGAATGATAGGATCATCATCGATGCGATGGGTTCCCCTGGAGAGCATACACGTTGTGGAGCGTGGGATCGGTGTGATTTTGCTGAGAATTTTTACCATTGCCGGGTAAATAAGTCTAGTAAGACCGCGATTACTCATGGTAATAAAGTAGTTGAAATGATAGCTATTATCCGGCGCGAGCTTAGCCTCTCGAAGAAGCACTTGCGATGCAATTTTCTCCAGCCGAGAAATGTGCAACGGAAACCCTGTTAACCGCAACAGGATTAATTAGCAACCCAAAAGATGTTGCACTAACATTGCCAGTTTCGTACCGACAAGTTTGCACGCCATTTCTCGAAATACTGGTCGCTGCTCGATGTACGTCTTAATTTGTTGTCGCACGTTCGCGATAATCTTATCGGTTCGAGCAGCGTGGCATGTTTCGACCAATACAGTGGCCTCTTCTATGAGACGTTTGACTGAATCCTCCTCTTGCAATTCATCTTTTGCTTCTCCTCGAGTTCCGGAAACCATCGTCAGTGGCTTAGGCTTCAAAAATTCAGCAGACAATGCACACCTTTCCTTAAGTCTATCATCAAATTCATCTAATGGGGCATCAAAAAATAATGCAAAAGGCTCTAAAATTCCGTCTCTGTCTGGCAGCAGATTGACCGGTGCCTCATTAAACTTAAGATTGCGCCACGCAGTCGAGTGTAGCGTGGCGTCTTGGATGGCATCTATGCGGGGATAAGTATGGTAATCGGACTGTGAGCTTACATATTTTTCCTCCAGCTTGACGAGCGACACGCCACCACGAAGAGGCAACTGCGGTCCTCCATCTGGAGAGTGCGGGCTTAAGATGCGGCGCAATTTCTGACGTTTACTGCGTCGCTCTTCAGCACGTTTATGTTTCGATGATTTTCCGGACGAATTGACTGTTTCACCCTTGCGCAACTGTGTGAGGGTTGGTGACATGGAGTGGTGGTGGTGAAGTTTTTCATAGTTCAGTCGCTCCATCTCACGTTCTTGTGCCATCACATCTGAGAAAAGCACACGCGTCTCAATCTTGCGATGAGTTCGTCGAAGTGCAATTGATGATTCGTGGCTGCGGTTGCTGCTATCTAAGGTGTCCCCGATCGACAAGTCAACGTCTTCAACCTTCATCTTTATGACAGCCACAAGTGGAAATATGCATAACAACTCGATTGATCGGCTTCTACAGGTATTAATCTAACCCTTGTCCTATGTAAACGTTAAGTTTGTCTCGACCGTTGTAAAAATGTCGTTGCTGTTGCAACGACTTCGCCATGTGCGCTCGAATCGGCGGTGGCTGAGCTTAGAGCGAAAAGTACAGCGAGCTTTTCATCTTAGCTCGGGTGCTTGTGGTCTACCACATCCGCAAAAGCGAGCCACGGGTGGTGAGGACGCCTGGTTCATTAGTGGCAATACAGTTGGTGTTGCAGACGGCGTTGGCGGATGGGCACGCAAGGTAAATCACCGTTTACGAACATAGTATTCGATGTGTTTTGAGCTAATGATGTGGATAGGGCATAGATTCGGGCGAGTATTCGCGCACGCTCATGAGATCCGCGAAGCAAGTACTAACAAAATCAACCATGGTGCCAACGCCATTGCAAGTGTTGACGATGGCGTATCACAACGCCCAGGTAAAAATAAGCAAGCAAAATTTGTTCGATGTCGGCGAAGTGGTCTCACCTGTATCGATCATAGTGTCCCGGTAGCTCTACAGCGTGTATTGTGCAGCTGAAAGGTAAAAGTTTACACTATTTTGTGGTGAGCGTTGCTGGTGGCTTTAGATCTTAAAGCTGATTGTGCATGCAGACTTGTCATTACAGGCAATTAATTTAGGCGACTCGGGTTTTCTCCTGTGTAGATTGCAGCCAGATAAAATAGCGGAAGGCGCGCTTAGGTGGCAGATTGTGCATGAGAGTCCTTGTCAGTGTCACTATTTCAATTGTCCTTTTCAACTTGGCTTTGGGACAAATGGAGACGAGGTAGGTGCGAACTGTCTTTACTTATTGCCCGCACGCAGCTGCTCAAGCCCTGATAATTGCTGTTTTGTAGCCAGATATGGGCGAAATTTTTGATCTTGAGATTCAGGAAGGCGATGTGGTCGTGCTTGGGACCGATGGACTGTATGCTGCATTTTGTTTCAAATACTAAGACGTGAAGACGACTAAATGTGCTTATTGTGGTTTGTGCTGTAGATTTGACAATTTATTTCCAAAGCAAATTGCAAGTCTTCTTGACTCGGTTTTACCACCAAAGCTGGAGCTGGACCAGCGTAGTATGGAGAAGGTGGCATCATGCATTGCGCACACTGCTCACAAGGCTGCAAAAAGTACAAAAACCAAGACTCCATTTTCGGTGGCGGCACAGCAAGCAGGCTATGAGTATATTGGGGGAAAGATGGATGATATAACTGTTGTGACGAGTCTAGTGACGAAAATTTCTCCCACTCGCGAATGAAAGAGAATTTGTGGCATTGAGATGAACATGAATTGAATATACGTCTGACACGGACTGAAATAAAGCGGAAATTGCCATTGCTTGATGCATCTGATTAGTGCGTCAGGTATGAAATGCTTTCTTTCAACTCGGTGACAAGCTTCGTCACGATTACTCAAATGTAGAAAAATGCGTTATGTGTATGTAGTCCACTGCATACACATGTAAAAAGTGTAAGGTGTTGCTGCACATGCCGACTTATCTCTTCTAAGTATGGGCTTATTTGTACGCTGATTAGTTTATGCCGATCGAGAAAGTCGATTACGTTCCTTATCATGAGAAACGCATACTTAATATTGTTATATTTTGGACTTGGAGCGAAATAAAAAGTTATGAGTTGATATGAAGCCATGATTAGTACTCGATGCCAATGAGGGTGATGAGAGATAGGTAGGTATGTGGGACACATCCCTCACTCTCTGAATTTATTGTATTATTGTAGCAAGTATGTTTTAAGTTGCTAGCCTTAATTGTAACTAAACATTGATAAACTAAATTATACTACACCTCCATCCGGAATTGATTTTGAAAAAATCTGCGATCAAGGAGACAAATTGTTAAAATTATCGTGAGCGCATTTCGTGTGTAGGTCTCATCCAGAGCTTCCAGGAGGTATAAGGGTTGCCACTGCTTGTATGTACCTGAAAAAAATAGCTAATCAAAGTGAACATTATGCGCATGTTACAAATTTCACCTGCTGTCCTCACCTTTGCCAAGTCTTATATAGTTGCACCGCTGCAGCATCAACTGAAGAACAGTTGACTTTCATCATATATAAAGTTTAGCTTTCTCACCCCCAGGGGAGCTTCAGGCATTGTTTTTCGGTCGAATGATTAATGCAGCAATGTTTAGTGCGTGTAGGCAAACTATTGGTCACATCTAAAAGCAAGCTTAAAAAGGCATGCAATGCAAACTGAGCATGCATTTATCGATGTCAGCTCAAAGATAAAGCAAAATTCGGGCAGTAAGAAGGAGATCGCGCACCCATTCTGCCAACGATTTCAAATCTGACCCACAGCTCGGGATCCACGCTCAAAAGCATGGCAGCGGCAATCAACGAGCCGGTGGCGGCTGTACTTGACATCTTTAAGATAGGACAGCTCGAAAGGGGCTCAAGCCCTCTTGAACTGAGATTGAAGGATGAAAACACCCAAGGCCAAGAGAATCGACTTTGCATTGTTTTTGTCGACAGGGAAACGTTGGACTGTCGTCCTATGCATGATTGATTACATTCTTGTCGATATAATGCGTTCATATCACCAAAAACATGTAGAAATATTACCAAGTTCTCGACGAAGAAGATCTTAACAGCACGAGTGAAAGCAAATTTTCGTCGCAAAGTAACGTTCATTGCAGCTGTCGCCACGATGGTATCATAAAAGAAGTACGATATTCGACGTAAAGCTGGGAACTTGCCCTTTGACAGGCAAAATGAGCCACTTTAACCCTTACCCGTGCCAAGATGGTTACAAAATCATCAAAGCTGTCAACAACGAGGAGTATACGAAAGCGTTGCCATTTCTTCCATAAAAATGGCCGAAAGTGGAGTAAAGGCATGACGATTCAAATTTAAGAAGACAACGCAAAGCCGCATTGTAGCCCGAATGGCCCAGTATTTGTCGAGGCATGCAAGCAGGGCGAATGGGAATCTCGTTGACCAGTCAATCTTTTGATAGCCCTGATTGCAATATTCTTGATCGAGTGTTTTTGATGCGATTTTGGTCATTACAGCAAAAGCATCATTCTTCAATCATCTATCAGCGTATCAATGCTGTGACTGGAGCTTTCGAAGAACAGCCAATTGAGAATTTGAGTATCGTGTTCTTACCGTTACAAGGCATCCTCTATTGCATCATGATGACAGAGGGAGAAAATTCATTAAAATTACCACACACAGGCACGGCGGCTTAACGACGAGCAGAAAATCTTCCTGAAACACCAGAATACAAATTGATGCAATCAAGTGAGCTACTAAAACTTTAGGACTTTGAGCTACCTCTGTGCAATGTTCACGATTACCCTGTTGTCACTAATATAGCTTGTCAACATTTTGATGACTAAGCCTGAATAATTATGCATCACTATTTGGGTGAAACACTCTGTTCTCGGGACAACAATCCACGCTCAACAAGTTTCTGACATTATGTATCGAGAAACCTCTTGCACGAAAAAAATAGATTGAAATGGCCCCGCTCTGGTTGTCGCTTGTGCTCCCTTATTTCGGATCGAGACGTTTTTAGATGCCCAACCAACCCGCCTTTACCCTCCCACTCGAGCTCTAACCGCTTCCAAGCCTTGGGTTATCAATTGTGCTGTACACTATGACTTAGTAAGACCCTGAAACAGACGGATGCTAGGTGAAGACCGCGCATAACAATGATCAATATATATATATGCATTACTTTTACAAATGAAACATTTTAGTTATCGAACTATTGAAGTCCGGATGTCGCAAGTGTTTGTACCGCCTAACCTAGCTTACCGATATCGATTCATTTGTCACCTTCATCAAAAGAAAAGAAATTAGCGGATACACTCCAGATAAAAGGCTTTATAGCCGGTATGGCGATGGGAACTTTCGTTGGAAAGATGACGGTAAGTATCGTTATGAGGGTCTCCGTACCAGCAGGCTCACACTGAAACCTTTCGCGTCCACCTGACTTCTTTTGAGAAAGCAATGAACGTTGCATTAATACGAAAAAGCTTCCGAGCCGCCAGGGGTGGTTGGGGCACGGGAGCATGAGCGCACCAGAGAGGCTAGATTTCGGTCAAGTGGAGTCAGATAAAGTGCTTTATTTGTTGTCGAGCAGCATGTGGTACGTCCTTAGGGGTACTAGCCATTTTCGCTCTGGATGCTCTTTTCCCTTTTGATTGAGGGGTATTATGGGGCGACGTCCCACTTAGAGTCGACTGGAGGGTCACTCGAGGCGAAAGGCTTGGTTCAGGGCGGTTAATTGGGAAAGAATCGTTTATGTAGAATCTCGTGTAGTTGAAGACAGATACATAGCCCCTAAGGGAGCGGTTTATTTTTCAGAGAGGTGAGGCTTACAGCCTCAACTTATTTTATCGTCATCATCAATGTATCGAGACATTTATAGCCAAGAGGGCGATAGATGTTAGAGCGTCGTTTACCATATGCGACGCGCAACTGTCCAAAGCATTAGATGGTACAAAAATTGTCATGTACCTTGCACTGTGGAAGCTTCAAAAAGAAAAGTCCGCGTTAACAAAGGCACACGGGTCGGCTTCTAAAGTTCCACCCAGGAGCGAAATTGAGAGCTGTTGAACAGCTAGATACTACTTTCAGCAGCAATTTTTAAACTCTTAAAAAATACATTTGTTAATCTGTTAAAGTGTTCAATAAAAAGGGTAGGCTATTTGCTGTGTATGACGACGGACAGGTCACGTGTTCCGCCAACCTATTCTTTACCGAGTCACATTGCCTTTGTCAGTACCAGTACTGTATTGCCTCCGAGCTTTGCACGAAATGCTTGTGAGTGTTTATAGCAATTTGGTACGTACACCGCTACAGTCAACTCCGCGATGAAAAGATGCATTAATAGTTTCTTACTATTATCTACACCTGACTAAATTCCTCGGTTACATACTATCCTTTGGTGAAGACAATTCAAGACGTCGTCTTCAAAGACCCGCCGTCGGTTCTACCTCCGGACCGAGGTGTGCGTCATGAGATCGACCGGTTCCGGAAACCAATTTTGCGCAACAAGCCAATGGCCTCTGCCCAAGATGCAGAGCGACGTCATTGATGCCTTCTTCCGTGCAAAGTATGACGCAGGAATGGTCCCTGAGAGCAAATCTACCCATCCGAAACCAACGTTTTGTGTCCGGAAGCCGAGTGGCAAGTGGCGCATCGTTCACGCTTACTATAATCTCACCGGTGACAGCCGTGAGAACTTCGAGCGGGATGCTCTGGGAGTGACCAGTGATGCCCCAAGGGCTGTCAAATGCACCAGCAACATTTAATCGTTTTGTGACGCATTTGTTTAGGCCCTATAGGGCAGGATGGTGCGTGGAAAACCAACAAGGATTTAAAAAATGATGAAGTGGTTGTAGACGTGCGATCTGAAAAATATGGCAAGCTTGCATTTGACGCTAAACGAAAAAAATGGTTAGGCTACAATCCTATGGAACACATTAAAGCTATTGAGCGAACATACTTCGACGACAGCTTCGTCCACAGTCGTGCGGGGCACGGGAGGACAGATGAAGAGAGCCACATCGTACAATCAAGTTCTGTGCTCGAGTGCATGCGCTTAAATAAGCTGTAGGCTAATGCAGACAAGTGCATCTTTGGCGGGGATGTAGATTGCTTTATGGGTAAGAGTAGCCTTTGAGCGGATTCCGCTAAGGTCAAGGCCATTGTAAACTGGTCGGTTCCAAAGAACAAAAACGACTTGCGCAAGTGGCTTGGCCTCGCCAGCTACTTGCACAAGTACAGCGAGAACTTTGCAGAAATGGCACGGCCATTGTCGAATCTTTTTAAGAAGGATACGAAATGGTGTTGGGATACCGAGCGTCTGCAGGCTTTTGATGGGGCCAAAGGCAGCCTCTTCCATGCATCAATACTGGCGTTGTCAGACCCTGATCGTCCATATGGCGTCATCTGTGACACTTCGGACTTTGCTGCGGTTGCGCACTGCTGCAAGCAGACACCGAGGGGCGAGATCGGGTGATCGCGTTTTAATCTCGTCAACTTCCTAGTTCACGACAAGGAATAACTTTAATGAAGTATGCACTTGTCACGTTCGAGGTTAGCCTGCTCGGCTCCAAGCTGTTTGTGATCGACACAGATCATGTGTCACTACGCAATGCGGCTCAATCGCCTCACCTCTCGCAGAGGATGACCAGATGGCTCAATTTCTTCGCAGAATATAACTTCGAGGTGAGACACAAGGTGAGAAGACATACAGTTCTGTGAGTTGCCAATACTGGTGGTCGACGTTGTACAAATAAACGAGCACATGTGCACACGTGTGAGACGTGTCAAAGAGTAAAGCCCTCTCCGAATGCGGCGGTGCCGCTGGCCAGTTTACCGGTAATCTCCGTGTGTTGGCAGTCCATGAGTATATACTTTGTGTTTGGCCTGCCGATGGACTTGACGGGCAGCACGGGTGTCTTGGTCTTCGCCGACCGTTTGAGATAGATGGCTTTCTTGCATCGGTGCCGGACATCATCGACGGTGTCGGTACAGAGACGCTGCTTGTGGATCGTGTCTACACTATGCCGATCTTTGCAAAAATTGTGTATTCGCGCTCTGTTTCAGCAACATAAATTGTCCTGATATCTCGCTGCGGTACTCACGACAACTTTCGGCTAATCATCAATCAGCTGGACATGATCCGGCGAGCTGACTTCGCATTCCTACAAGTACATAAATTGTAGCAACTCTTGTAAACGTTGTATTCAATGGCCTGATCTCTTCTACAGGGAGGAAAAAGACTGGAGATGTGCTGCTTTGTAAGTGTCAACGGTGCCAGCGTGATCTTGCCAGACTAAGAAGTCATGCACTGAAAAGAAAGCATTTCTTTACCAGATACTGCGAACAGACCTTTTGACTAAAAGAGTGCCTCATATTGTTCATCGAACAGCGTCGGCGGAGGAAAGCATTCTAGTGGCCGGATATCATATATATCTATCGTCTCTGTCGACACTACAACGCTATCTCTGAGTTTCTCGACGTACGGCCAATACTGAGATGATCCGGCTTTCGAGTGCATTCTGTGATCTACTAAATCGTACGGACTAGATCAGACCACCCTATGCTGTTTAGAAGCGTATTACTACGCTAGAGTTGAAGCTAACTAATCCCAGAAAGCAGTTTGCTGTTACTTCGTGTATGACGAGGTACCTTCCATCCTACTTAATGGCTCATAAGATCGGTATTATTGTATAGCTTCAACAAGCTCTACGTAGAACACAAGATGTTTCCTCAGTCTACAGTATATTGAAAGCGTAGCTTGACTTCTTTTTTATTTTGGCCATTAATAGTCCGAAGAAGCGTGGTCACATTTTACTTATGAACTGCAGGCACTGGTGACATGCGTATAAAAAATCATCTTCAAAATTTTAAGCAAAGTGCTTTTTGTACTTTCTGGATCTCAGCTGAAGCGCGCGCAGATGAATAATACTGCCAAGATTGAGCTCTCAATCTGCAAGAAAGTCCAGCTGTGTAATAGCAGCGAGTCGAGTCGTACTGACTCGAAAGCATTATAGAAGATGGGACTGCATAAGGTTTGATTTCATACGATGCATAGGCTGCTAATCTAACGCTTAGCATCACACATTGTTAGTTATGAAAGAATTAAAACAGATATGTGAATACAAACTTACGCTAGACTGAACTTTGCACTTACAGCTATCGCGGATATAGTATCTAATAGTTCAGCACCTGAGTAGTGTGCTGAGATTATTATCCGAAAGTTTATAGCCCTCTCCTTCTCCACATCAAAGGATTCTACGTGCGAAGTGCACGGCTATCGATTTGACGACTGATTATGAACAACGATGTAATATCTGCGAGTATCAAACACAATTTTCTCTTCATCTGCCTTTGGATCAAAAATATACACCCAACAAACTTCTATCATAATTTCATTTCGAGAAATACGCGCAAACGGCGCCTTGCGTACCGGACTTGGAAATGGAGCTCTTGAGATGTTCAACAGTTGTGAGGATGCGCTGTTGAGACAATTTTACCAACCATGGGGCTACTTAAGTGAACGTCCAGCTATTTGAATTGGGATAGATAAATAACTATGTGAATCAGAAAAAAGGTGATATGGTCAACTTATCAGACATGCTACAGACGGACTATCTGCTCGACGCGCCGGTGGTCTTCAATTTGAGGATCTTCGCGCGAGAATAGACACTTTTGTATGAAACTATGCGGGGGGTAATTCCGCCTCTAAATTGTTCGGGCAAAGATGTTGCGTATAGACGCACTGCCTCATTATCCCTATCGTGTGTTGTTGAAATCTTTGTCCTCATACGAGGGAAGATCAGCGAGTTTTGTCCCGAGGTAAAGAGCTCAAATGGCCGTATACTCTCCTTCAAAATGATAATCATGCAAGGCCTGTGCACAGGTACAAATTGCAAGAGATGGATGTCGCATCGCATGTGGGGTATAACTCTGTGCTGCGAAGGCCACTAGAGCGGAAGGCAGCGTTATATGAGCGCGCCAGTAACGATGGTTATTGGTCAAGCTTTGCACTATTTAGCTGCTGAATAGTACCGGGTGACTCATAGATGGGACATCTGCAGCAATGACCATTCTGTGTGTAGCGCTCGGTTGCAAGGTGCCGTAACGGGAATTGCCCACACACTTTCTGAGAAAAGCTTAGGTCAAGTGAGAAGACTCACCGCGTGTTGCTCGCTTCCAGTAAGCCATTGACTTACGTAGAGAAGAGGTAAGGAGAAGTGACATTAATAAAAATTTAGCCAATAGTTTCTTAACCTCCCTGACCTGATAAATACTTCTAGTTATGATACAACAGAACTGAAAGAGCAGTTAAACCTGTAGGGTGTACAGTTAATTATGTGGTCTGAGCAACCTGTTTAATGGAACCATCCGTGGGTTCGCCCTAATTCCTCCAATTTTCTACAATATTTCTTCCGCTTCTCATCACGCTCTGCTCAACTCTCGGTAGAGTAACAACCCGCACGCTTGCTTCACATGAGACCGTTGCCACCCTCAAATTTGAATTTAATTCCAATACCATTTGCGTCATCGTGAACTTGATCGTCATTATGACTTACGAAAGACGTGGTGATCTCATCCTAGAGTTCAACTCTTTTGTCGATTGGGTAATCGACTGTTGAGTATCCGAGCCATTGGAACGATCACTCTTGCTGGAGGTGAATCACGAAGCCTTACGTATGCTCCGTACATCCAAACAATCGACACTCGATTCTGGTCATGGGTCCATGCGACCAAATCCGTGAAAATCTATCATTTGCAAAGCGCAAGTTCCGCTGCTGACATGTTGATCGTGCGCGATATGCGCTTTCGATTTGCGCATTTGACAGCGCAGGATCGGGATCACTCCGATATCGAGGATGCTCGTGAAGTGCGCTCGCTCATTGGTCGGCTACACGAGGAGAGAGACAGTTTCTCTAAAGGAGTCCGTCTTCGGACGCGCGAAGGATACTGGGGCAGTCGCGACGAATACGAGTATGTGGATTTCACGAATTGCTGGTTACCCTAGCCATTTCATCAAGATCTCCTTCCGACCGCGGACGCGCCTCTCCGCCACCATTTTCTTGACGTGGTAGTATCGATATCCTTGTCGATCCGGAAAAGAAGGAGGTGCCCTCCCCTCTGGTTCTTCTGTAGCCGGTCCACAGGATTCGTCCGTCCTGGACCTGCGCTAGACGAAGGAAGAGTCGTTTCTCTCGCTGATGAACCAGTGTGTGATCGAGTTGATTGTTCGAGGGTCGTCGACGCGACAAGGCGTAAAGAATAATGAACAGGTCGTTCGTGAAGTCCGCGATCTCACATGACTTCATGGAAACTCGCATGGGGCGCACTTGGACCTCACCCTTTATGCCTCGGACTTCGTCCGACCATGCCACTCTTGGCATACAGCAAATGCTTCGTAACGTGAGCAATGCTCACTAGTTTACGTGCCAATCCACGTGCATCACAACGATCTCGCCCTTGATGTTTCGGTCCTTGGCCCACCATGCCACTCTTGGCATGTAGCGACTGCTCCAATACTTGAGCAGCGCTCAGTGGATTATGCGCCACTCCATTTTCAGCACGCGAGCCACGCTCGGGACACTTGTCCAATACACCTTCGGTGTTTGGCAGCTCGGATACTCCAAATGTTAGCACATTAACCGCTTCGGCCCAATTCCTGCGCCAATAGCGTTTCTGATTCCGAGTAGGGTGGGTTCATGACTCACCAAAGTTCCACCAGGAGTGTGCGCGTAGCAACCAGGGATTTTCACCTTCAATCAATCCATGGCCCATGGTGTTCCAAGCAAGTATAAGGTTATCCCCTTGCTTTCAAGTCTAAGACTTAGCAGTGTCTCACGTTATCGAAGTAAAGAACATTGACACCGAGGTCCACAGGGACCCTTGACAAACCCCATCGCTAAGCGAACAGTGGCGGTGTCACTAAACCGCGCTTCCAAGGCCTCAGCATACGGCTGACTTCCCTCGATCGTGGAGCGTCGAGCATAATTGCCCGAAGCCTCGGAATCAATAACCTGGCTTCTCAAAGCCCTTCACGGTCGAATTTACGACTAGCAAGCCCGGCTTGCATACACGTTCCGTGTTCAAGATCACGTAGCGCTTCAGAACTGGACCCTGCTGCCCTATACGTCTTTGAGGCTCAACAGAATCAAGTTATCCTCCCCCAGTAGGGCGCCCGGGGCCCACTGGGCTCTCTCGTTTTCCCGCGACACAACGGACTGATTAGAAGCAGGACGTCGATTTGACGAACTTTTACGCGTCTTGCGCAGGGGACAACCAGTCCGATGGTGACGGTGTATCCTTAGACAAAACACCGTCGGGTGTTCAAACGCTGCTCGGAACTTTCCCTCCTCTTTCTCAGAATAGCTGAGATCCATTGGCTCAGGCCCGCTGGACGAGCATTCCAACCAAGTCGTGCCGACTTAAAATTGAATTCGGTATTCAATGCCACATTCGCTGTTTCTTCAAAAAAGACGGATGCACACAGAAGACTCCCATTCTGGCCAGGCCAGTGCGGAGACTCTTCATAAAGCCGGTCGCTTTGATCGCCTCGGGATGAGAATTGGCTGTCATACCAGCAATGAGAGTACGCAACTCCTGGACAAAGTCCACCAACTCCTTCTTGCCCTGTCGGGCAAGAAGGAAACGCGATTTCACGCAATGTGCCCATTCTCGCACTCGACTTCCGAGCTTAGAGATAGCTAGCACCACGCGCTGTTGCTCGTTTTGGAGCATGGCGGATACCATATCCATCTCGGCCTCTCTCACCTAAAGCGGGAGATTCTCTCCACCCTTACTCTCGTAGGTCTTAATGCTCACCATGAGCGCCATGGGTCGGGAGGAACCATCCGTCGTCAACGGTGGCGTCATGGACGTAGTCGACGCTGACAGCTTCTGCTGTAGGTGTTTAAGCAGAGCATTTTCATGACTCGAAAACGCCTCTAGGTTCGCGTTTTCGCTTCAAGACCTTGCGCATCAAGGTGCTCCACGCCCTCAGGGCCCAGCAGGGACACCAGCTTATTAAGCCCATCCTGCATGCCCTGGGGCAGATAGGAGAATTTCATAAGCCTCACAAAGGATCAGTCATATCGACTCAGGCGTAGATTGACAACGGGTGCTATTAAGTGCAGCGGGCTGCCGTAGCTCTTTGCTTAGAGGAAGCTAAGCTAACGTCACCGACCTTACGTTCTTTATAAGGGCCAGTGCGAGTGCATCGCAGTCCGCTGACTCCAAGAGTATTTAAAACCTTAGCCAAGGTAAATGAACTCTTCCGTTCAAATCTGAAACTGTATTTATTTGTTTTAGTTGCGGCAGGGCCGCCAATATCTAGAACTTAAGTTTTTCCTAATTAATATAGTAAAACCTAATTATTATGCATTACTACCGGTAGTTACGGTGTCGCCGCACCACTTTGTGATTACACCAACTTGTTTAATTCACAGCTATGTACGCTTGTGCGACGCCCTTTCATACAAGGGTACTTGTAACCCCGTTACACGATTGTTCGGGGAGAGCTTCCCGCTAATGAAGCTCAGCGTATGTGTGTAGTGGTCGGGCGCCCGACTACGAAGACGCATAACGATCGAGTGATCGCGTTTTTTTGCTTCGGTAGCGGGATCCGCCGAGTGGAAGCCGTAGGGTTTCATGAGGGACTAGGACCGAACATGAATACGATCGCATTAGAGCTGCCTCGTCGAGACGATTGGTAACAATACCACTTCTCACGGAAGTCGAGAGATTGAAGAACGGACACGATGTCCGCAAGGTTCGACTTGGGCTCACGTCGCGCCGTTGGCGCGCCTCGTCTTCCTCGTCTTCCTATGCTGGGAAAGGAGAATTCGACTCGAAATCGACTTCCTCCAAATCGTCAGCGATGAAATCCGTCGCCCGGGGCGGGCGGGTGGTGTGGCGCTCGGTTGGCGAGGGCTTGAGATGTGCTTCCCATGAAGCCGCGGACGTATTGTTCGAAGATGCACCCTGTGAAGAGCTGGGTGTTATGCGTGTCAAAGACACATGG